AATCCCAATTATTTTACAGATTCAGAACTAGATGATCTAGCTGAGGAGTTTCCGCCGCTTCGAAAGAAGGATCTTTTACGGCTCCTTGGTGAAAAAAGAGAGCTACTAGAACCATACTTGAATATGATTTTGGAATCTACAAAGTCTTCTTCAGGAATTATATTCATGTCATGTGAAGAGTTGGACCAAGGCTCATTGAGTAAAGCACGTGAAGATTTCAAAGTTCCAATCTTTGCGATAGGTCCTTCTCATAGCAACTTTCCAGCCTCGTCTAGTAGCTTGTTCACACAAGACGAGACTTGCATTCCATGGTTAGATAAACAAGCAGATAAATCCGTGATTTACGCGAGTTTTGGTAGCCTCGCGTCCATGACAGGATCAGAGTTAATCGAGATTGCTTGGGGTCTAAGAAACAGCGATCAACCTTTCTTGTTGGTCGTACGGGATGGTTCGGTCAAAGGCACCGAGGCAATCCCGGAAGAAGTCATGGCAAGGCTTAACGAGAAAGGAAAGATAGTGAAATGGGCTCCGCAACAAGAGATTCTAAAGCATCGAGCCATTGGAGGATTCTTGACACACAATGGTATGAACTCGGTGGTTGAGAGTGTTTGTGAAGGTGTCCCTATGATTTGTTTGCCTTTTCTATGGGACCAATTCTTATATGCAAGATTAGTTAGCGATGTGTGGAAGGTCGGGATCCATCTAGAGCATCGGATTGAGAGAAATGAGATCGAGAGAGCGGTAAGGAGTTTATTGTTCGAAAATGAAGGAGAAGCAATCCGAGAGAGGATGGAACTTCTTAAGGAGAAAGTAGAAAGATCGGTTAAACAAAACGGTTCGGCATATCGATCTCTAGAACATTTGGTTGATCATATATCATCTTTCTAGCTATATATCTTTTGTTTGGTTTCTTCATGTTTTCAGTTTTCCAACCAATAAATTTGTTAGTTTTCTCAGGATATTCTTCCTTTGTGTTTGAGATTGTAAGGAACTAAAATTTTTGTTCAATTACTAAACCAAAATTTCTTGGGACGGGACCAAATAACATGGTGTTATCCCGGGATGTACGGGTCTCGGTCTT